GCTAGCTCTCCTAGTTCTACAGACCTAGTCAAGTTGAATTCTCTAAGAAACCATGCTTCTATGTCTCACACATCTGTTAATTGTAACATTTTAAGGAGGACAATACAATCTCAGGAAAGTGTTTACAATGAGAATTTGTGTGAAGATAGACAAGGTAGAAACCTAAGAGCTCAAAGTAAGTTTCATAATTCAGCCATTGCTCCTGTGATTTTCACCCTAATAACTTTAGATAATGTAGAGTCACCTGTTTTGCATATTATGTTAGGAGTTGTTTTAAAACTGTATAAATCTATTGTTGAATGAGTTTAAGACGTTAGATTGTCAAACTGATTCGTTTTTGTTGCATGATGAGAATGTGAGAACGATATGATTTGTAGGCTGCTAAATACGCTGAATGTTTGAGAAGCTTTGCTTTTATTAGGAAATGGCTTCATCAATTTTGTGAAATTATTTGTGAATCAGAAAAGAGTATGTTGCGTGATATAGAGAAGTACGAGTATTTAGCATGCCAGGGTGAAAATATAAAATATCTTGACGTTTATATTTCTGAAAAATATTTTTTAATATGCACACAACGCAAAGTTTTAGACGTTGAGTATATTCAATCGGATATGGAGTGTGATGTCCTAGAAAAAACATTCAAAAGTAGCATGGTGACTCATGAGAGGTCTCTTAAAAAAGCCCTTGAAGATTTAAAGGTTGAGCGACAAACTTACCACGGTAATGTATTTGTAGATAATCATTGCAAAATAGTATTAAGAAAACACTATAAACATTGTAGTGTTATTAATGATGAAGCAATAGATTTGTATCTGTGTTTAGTGTTTTTAATAAATTGCAACCAATTCTTTTTAAACAAATATTTGTTTCTGATGCCGTAAGTACTGAGCTTTATCAATATATAAATTTATCTGCTTTTGAGTTTCATGCTTGCTTTTCAAAAAAATATATCACGCGAAAAATGCATGAACTCATTTTCAATGTGCCACTATTTTTAAAATTGCATAAAACTATTGGGCTGCTCAGTGAAAAGGAGGAATAGTGTTTGTATAATAGCGTAAATAAGGAATTAAGACAATTGTATTCAGTAAGAAATCAGGAACAGAAGCTGCGTCTTGTTTTAAAACGCTTTAATTGCACAGCAAAGCTGATAGAAAGCTTTAAGCCTCTAAGGTGAAAAGGTGTGTTGTGTGTTCTGTACAATATTTTATACAATATCTTGTTTGTGGTCTTGTCTATAAAACTTGTCTATAAAATGAATTTTCGCCTCACACAGAACACTCAGAACACTTAACATACTTTTTCACCTTAGATGCTTGAAGCTTTCTATCAACTTTGTTGTGCAATTCAAAGCGTTTTAAATCTGCTCCTGATTTTATAACAACTTTTTTTATTTATTAGATTTCCATTCAATTGTTACCATCAAAAGTTAGTTCTACCTTATTTGAAAAGTTTTCAAAAGATTTAAATTTGTATATTTAAAAAAACACTTTATTTTTTGTGAGAAGAGTGCAATAAAATAATTCTACTACCAAAGTGCCATAAAATATCAAGTGCTATAAAATAATTCTAGTATCAAAAACGAGGTTAATTCAAAAAATTTATCTTAATTTTGATCATGAACTATCTTATTAGACTTGGCGAGTCTTTATTTGTTAACAACCTAACAACATATTATTAGAACTGCATAGACAAAAATAAATAAAATGTTTTTTAAATGTCTGAGCTTTAAATGTTTAGGCTAAATATTCCAAAATCAAAATCTTTATTTTGTAATGCAATTAATTTATCATGTTACTGATATTTTTTTCTAAAATAAGAATTTCTAGATTTAAAGATGATTTTATTTAACAGCTAATCCCTTTATAAACAACATTTTTCATAGTTTTGCAAAATTTGCGGTTTTCTTTCAGACTAAAGTAAAGTCTGTTTTAGTTAACATTTAACAATTTAGTAGAGTTTTTTTTTGTTTTTATAATAGTCAAACAATCATTGTATTTGATAATAACTATCAAAAATACATTTTTCTGATTTTTTTTTTTTTTTGATAAAAAGTAACATCAAATTGTCACATTTATTCTAAACTAAAACAAGTTTTTTTACAGAATCATTAAATGTCTTAAGGTAAAACATTATATTAGTGTTTTTATTCTTTCTACAAAACAAAATTATCTCCAATATTTCAAAAGTTATAAATGTTTTAGTAACACCCCTCAAGTCAATATTTTCACAAAAAAAAAAACAAGAAGCCGTAAAGCTCGGTTTGATATAACCGTGTGCATGATAAACAAATAAAATTTGTTTCACAAAAAGGTTATAAGAGTGTTATTGTTTCTCAGTTTTAAACTAAAAAGATCTTCCAAGACTATGAGGTGGGGAGGGGCGGTGATTGCTTTTTCACATATAAACAAAGCATTAAATGATCAATACGTGGAGATTAAATATATTTAAAGTTTTCATTTCAAACAATAAGGTTTACAATGAGAAAAATGATTCGCAAAACTATTGGTGAATCAGAAAAGAGTTTAATTATGCAAATTACTTGTTTTTGACAGCGATAAATTTGATATAATTTACTTTTTTCAGTAGAGGAGAGGGAGGTTGGTTGTCACACTTTTTACTTTTTCGACTGCATATATTTTATTTTTCATTAAATCAAAGCCAGACTTTGCACAAAAATAGTTTAACTGTTTCCGGAGGCTATTGTAACAATTTCATGACATTGAATTAAATATATTTTGTCGTAAAATCATTTTTCAAAGACCGCTCCTGCGTGACAAATAACCCCAACCACCGGGTTGGTTCACACAGAGTAGGGGTTGGCTGTCACGTTTCTTGGTATATTTGGATTATAACCAGTTAATGCAAATTTGAGTACAACTAAATTTTTTAAAATAATTATTTATTTATTTTTTATTTTTAATGTTTATTTAAGTGCCCCAAGAAGACCTAACGGTCTTGTCACAGAGCACCGCGAAAGTGCAGTTAACCAGGAAGTTCACGCCTCCTTGCTTACCGTGACGCTAAAATACATCCAGAGCTCGTTTCGAACCTGGATCTCCAGCTTCCACAGCAAGCGCTCTAACCACTGCGCCATGGCCGTACTATTATGAGACTGATTTTTTTCAGATTATTTTGAAAACAAAATTTTTTTAATAATTTCGCCTCCCTAAGGCCGAGACCATTATAGTTGAGGAGGCTACTTTTTGAGTTTTCTTTTTATGGTTAGTGAGCCATGCTTTGGCAGGTGAGTTAGTTAAAATTATAGTTGAACGCTTTTTCCTACCTTTTTTTAATGCTAACCTTTTACCTGCTGTATGCAGAGCCCTAATACTCTTAGATACAGCCTGTGGCACAGCTTGTAATGTTGTAATTTTGAACGATATTATATAGCACTAACCGAGGATTTTAATAGATGGTTTTAAAAAATAATGCTTGCAGTCGAGGTAAACGTGACAATCGTCTCCATTCATTTTATGACAAGTCCTTCTATGTTAGTAAAAAGACATCTGTAAACTTACCCAAAAGCATGTGAATTTCACGAGAATTTTTTATAGATTTCTTTTCTCAAATGAATTAAAAACTTTATAAATGTACATTCAAAACATAATAGAATAATTTCCGTTTAGAAAAACAAAAATTTTAAATATGTTAAATTCAAATATTTCATGTCAAAAACATATACAAACAAACAACTTTAATTTTACATGCTAAAACAAGATGAAAATAACTGTAAAAATGTCATTTTTTTATTAAGCTTTCTGTTAGGGTTTTTTTTTTAAAATTTAAAAATTCTAAATCCTATCTAGATTTTCTCTGATAAACTTTGTGACAACCAATCCGCGTGACAACCAACCCCGCTCTCCCCCACTTCCCTATGCAATATAAGCATAGTTTTTGTAGCAGTGAATAAATGAGAAATAAATTTGTCTTAAGTTTTCCTTATTGTAAAAAGTTCGAGCTTTGTATAAAACTCCAATGTTTTTAGAGACTTTAATGCATCATAATTAATATACTGATTCCAAGTAATATTCTTATTGAGATAAATACTTAAGAATTTAACAACGGAGTCTCTTTATATTTCATATATATATATATATATATATATATATATATATATATATATATATATATATATATATATATATATATATATATATATATATATATATATATATATATATATATATATGTATATGTATATATATTATTTAAAAAAATTATTTTTCTTTAATACAACACGCCTAAGTTTGTGTCTGGGGCCCAATGCAAAAGATTGGGTGAATAGAAGCGAATAAAACGTCACGTTTTTAATTACTATCGACTTTACGAAACCAAAACGCCAAATGCAACCCCAACGTCTTACCACAAAATATTAGTAATGAGCAGCCCTGGCCCAGTGGTAGCGCACTTGCCTAAGGATTTGCCAAAGAATCCGTGGTTCAAACCCACCTCTGGGCAAGTTTTGCATCATCGGTTAGGGAGGAGGCGTGAACTTCCAATTAAATGCTCGTCAGCGGTGCTATGTGATAATACCGTATGGACTTCTTGGGGCACCTAAATGAATTAAAAAAAAAAAAAGGAATGTGTATGTGTGAGCTGAGGATAAACCCTTTTAAAGTTTAACCCGAACGTAAAAAATAAAGTTTTAGCGTTTCGTTGAAAAAGTGAAATAGTTTTGAAAACGTAAAATTTTTACAAACTTTGTCACGAAGTGAAAATAAAGTTTGAATTTTTATTTTTTGTAGTTATTTTCATATCATGTGTGTGTGTGCGCGTGTGTGTGTGTGTGTGTGTGTATGTGTGTGCGTGTGTGTGTCTAAATTGTGTGTTCTAAATTATAAACATCTATATACAAAAAAATCATACAGAGCTATACAAAAACGTTTCCTTCCGTGACGTTTTCATTGAAATTTTTGGAACGATATTTTACTTAACATGGTTAGGGACAAAAAAATTGCCTACGTACTTTATGGATAACCCCTTACGACAACGACTACTTAAAAAATATTTTCACGTTCTTTTCTTTGCAGAGAAAGAAAAAATATTACATTAGCTTTTTAAATATGAAAGTATATACATATTGTCATTTTTTGATAGTCTTAAACGCCTTCTTCAAACTTTTGCTCTTTGACTTTGCACAAGGAAGCATTATTAAACATACTTTTTTCGCAGCAGTGGGTAACGTAGCACGAGTAGCTGGTAAAAAACATCAGAAAAAATGACATCACAGAAAATACTAAAGGTGGTCTAAAAGGAAATATTGAAAACATTTTAGTTAAATTAAAGTCAGTGTATAGTAAACTGTGTAAAATTATTTACTATTATAATAAGGTTATCATTACAACTAATGTTAAGTTACACTGCTCAAGATAGATAAGTAATGCTTGACACTTGATTTGGATGGTTAGACTCCCAAAAAAATGAAACAATAAAAAATAGAACTATGCTAATAAAAATTAGAACTATAGTTTGGAAAGGTCCAATATCTTCGTAAACAAAATGAACTTAATTTTTAACCGGTGCAGCAGTTAAAATTAGGTACCTCTTGTTCACTTGACTCATTAGGTATCATTTAGTCAATACGGTGCCATTAAATAGGGTCCCATTAAATGGCTCAGAATAAGGTAGTAATGTTAGCTCTAACTACACTACTGTAAAACTGTCACTGTCAAGTAAGTTTAACTTGTTTAATAAAAAAAAGAAGATATGGGATAAAAAAAAAAAAAATAACAATAATGCAATTGGTTGAAGTTGGTTGATGAAGTAAACGGTATTTAAAAACGGAAATCAAAAAAAATGTTTGAGAGAGAAAAAAAAAATTAGATTAAAATATTATATAGAAAAAAAATTACCCTGGATACTCTGTAAACCCTAAGTAATCTGTTGTTTCTTCAGTCCAGCCCATTACTTCCCATCTAAAAGTTTCTTCAAGAAAGTCGAATGAATACTCGTACCAAAAAAGCGCCAATGAAGTTCCGGTAAGAAAAGCTGAAAAATTGTAAAGAAAAAAAAAAAAAAAAAAAAAAAAAAAAAAAAAAAAAAAGAATTGTAAAAAACTATTATAAACACTGAAGACCTTTTTCGTTCGTTTTGCTTTAAAACATTGCTTATTTTCATTCACGCCGTTTGTAGATTAAATCAAAGTCGAAACTTTTTTAATAAACAATAAATACAAAATTTGAACAAAAGATATTTATTGTGAAAAGATTTCATTTAAACAAGGTTTATAGCTTTTAATAAAGAAAAAAACTTGTTTATTTGTTAATGTTTATAATGAATGAAAAAAGATCACTTGTTACTATCCCTTAATGGAAACCGAGCTGCTGTGACTTTTTTATATTGTTTTTTGTTTTTTAAATGTTGTTTGCTAAATAGTAAAACGATGACAATTAACGCAAATTAATTTTTTTTATGAATTATCAAAACAGGTTTTTCTCTTTTTTAAACAAATTTTTACAAATGACTTATAAACCATATAATTATATAGTGTGTGTATGGTGTATGTATATGTATGTATGTATGTATGTATGGGTATATGTATGGATATATATATATATATATATATATATATATATATATATATATATATATATATATATATATATATATATATATATATATATATATACATATTTATATATATATATATATATATATATATATATATATATATATACATGTTTATATATATATATATATATATATATATATATATATATATATATATATATATATATATATATATATATATATATATATATATATAAATTTATTTGCGTATACATTATCTTTTTTAATTATTTATCAAACAAAAGTATAGTAGCCATACCACTAAAAAGACACGCAATTGCAGCTAGATTCCATGACTTTTTTAACCGTTCATCTTTAAAAGATTGTTCATAGCAAACGAAAATAAAAGCTAACACCAAAATAGCTAACGCCAAAACAAGAAAAAATCGAAAGCATTCGAACCACGCTTTAAAATAGATTTAAAAAAAAAAAATTTAATTTAGTGAAATACTATAAAGTGCGTTACACAATTACATTTTAGTTGATTTGAGTATGCTATTGCTTACCAAATATAAAGTTTTTAAAAAGTATTATAACTTACTAGAAATTATGCAATAAACAGAAATTTTTAAAAAAAGATAAAAAAAAATATCTTATTTAAATAATTCTTTTATTTCTAACAAAACCTTATTTAAAAAAAAACAAATAAACAGGTAACAAGTTATTAAACATATTATCTTATCATTACATACTGTTAACTGGTATGTCATTACCTTGGAACGGCTGTTCAGCATAGTAATTTTCAAAACATTTATTAAAATCTAACCCTCTAATTGTGCCAAACGCATATCGACACATTGTCCATAAACTGATTTCCATGATTTCATCATAATACCTTTCTTCTTTCCAACCCTTAAGAGCAACAGCTATTGCTAACAAAACCAAAGATATGCAAAGTAATATTAATGAAGTAACACGAGCCAAAACAATTCCCATATTATTTGGAACAGACTAAAAAAGATAAAGTTTCACAAGAACCCTCAGCAATATGAAAATTACTAGTTAATTTAAAAAAAAAATTGACTTACTCTTATTGGATATAATATACGTAAGCACCAGTTAACACCCATTTACGATGAAATCATGGACAATGAACCAGTTTCTTAAACCTGACTTTATTGTAGTTCCGATATAATCTAAACCCTATTATTTGAGATTCATAAATGTAAGGAAGCGTTTTAAACAAAACATTTCCGCTTTTGTATTAATAACGATTGCTTTTACGAAGAGTCAATATTTGTGTAAACATTTTGAAATTTTAAACGGAATTATCTTTATAAATATTGTCATAAATCTTTATAAATAATATAAATTATAAATATCATATTGTGATAATCTTTATAATTAATCTTAATAATAAGTATAGTAATAATATTTACTCAAAATTAAAGCAATAATTAAAAATTATTGATAATTAAGCAATTGTAATAAGAAACTATTTAATCAATTGAAAAGTTTGTTTTTTGACTGTTATTTATGTAAACACCTAAACTGTTTAAAGAGTAATACATATATATATATATATATATATATATATATATATATATATATATATATATATATATATATATATATATATATATATATATATATATATATATATATATACGTATATATATATATATATATATATATATATATATATATATATATATATGTATATATATATATATATATATATATATATATATATATATATATATATATATATATATATATATATATATATATATATATATATATATATATATATATATATATATATATATATATATATATTATATATATATATATATATATAGATGTATATATATACACCTCTGTTTACAATTTTATAGCTAATTTTAATAGAAACAAAACTATTTTTTGTGCGATAAAAATGCTTTACCACATATCTGATATTTAACAAGGAGTAAGTTATTTAGAAAAATTGTTTTTGACATCGAAACAAAAACATATTGAGGCTTTCCAGATTGAATTTTTAAGAAGTGATTATTGTTTTATTTTATATCTAATGCACTCAACTTGAACTATTTAGTTTGAGTACATTTGACAAATCATCAAACAATATTTTCTTTGTTTAGAAAAAAAGGTTTTTCCTAACATATTGTTGGGACAGTTAATAGTATGGGTATGCCTTCGGCTGTTTGTTTGCAATAATACAAAAAAAAGTCAAGAACATACAGAAACTATAATTTCTGAAGAACAGAAATAGGGAAAATTTACACATTTTAAATGAAATGACATTTTTGTACATTTACTAAAATTTTCTCTATCGATTGAAAAAAAAAATTTTTAAGTTACTTATTAAAATAATTTTAACATCGAAATTTGGTTCTCATGATTTTTTGAATCGAACTCATGTCTTTTCACATTAGTTAATTTTTAATCATGTTGAGATTTAATTTTGTAAATGGAACTAGTTGATTTTTAATAAGTAGATGTTCACCTGAACATATCCTGAACTTTTTCATGATTTTGATGCAAAATGGAAAATAATGGTTTAAGTATAAAATTAGGTATTACAAATTGGCATAAAAAAATTGCGAAATCTAATTTTGGTATATAACATCGCATATTTTCCTCTTTGAAGGTGATTTTGAAAATTTCAGAACTCTTTGTTGTTGTTTTTTATATAATTAATTGTGTAGCAATTGGTAGACGCTGTTTAATTCAAAACAAATAAACATTCGTATCTGCTTAATAACTTAGTTGCTAAATTTTTATATTTGTTAACGAATGTGAACAGTGACATTTGTTGAAAAAACGTATAACCTTTAAACAGAAGTTTTTAAAGACTTGTCTTTATTATAATCAATATATTTATTACTTAATTTCTATTGTTTATTTTTGCATTATAAAATTGTTGCTGTATTAAAAACTTGATAATTACAATAAGGTAAAAATCACTGACTCATGTGGCTTTCAATAGTATTTATCAATTTTTTAATACCATTGGAATTGCAATAATTATCTAAGTTAAATAAAATTGTTGTCGCCTTTTTTTTATTTTTTATTTTTGGTACTCTTGAATATTGTTTTTGCTCAGTGAAATGTCATGAAGATAAAAATATGAGCCGTATAGAAGCAATCAGACAATTGCATGACTGCGGAACTGCGTCATACAAATACATTTTATAATAAAGTTTACAGATGCAAGCATCATTATTGTTTAACAGATTGTGACACTTTATGCAAATAAAAAATTTTAACTAAAATTTGTAGCAGAATTCTATGATATTACGGCTGCAGATATATATTGTTTCTCTATGTTGCAAGATATACATTTTAAGTACAAGAATAAAAAGTAATATATTTGAACGTAGCAAAAAAACATTACAAAATTTATTCTTGATTTATCTGCAGTGTGACCTACCTTAATTCTTCCACTGCCCAATATTTGCTCTGAGTGATTTGACTGATACGCAATTGCAACAGATTTTAATAGCATCTAATGATGCAATTTGTCATGAGTGTAAAAATGTCAAAAATGTCAAAAATGTCAAAAAAAACATTACTCATTAGGTTTTTTTTTTTTTTTTAATTTAGCCGTACAAATATTTACAAGTTCCGTAATTTAAAATATTTAAAAATGGCAAGGACGAGAAGAAGACGGGGTTGTCTTATCACCAAGTCCCTTGTTTGTCTAGACATTTATATAAATACATGGTAACTAAAATGAAAATTAAAAAATTAAGAAAAAAGCAAAAAATTACAAAGAAGTTTATATAAAATGCCAAATAGTTTAATAGTTCAAAGTTTTGAAAGATATTTTTTCGATTTTATTTTTTGAAAGAAAAATTTAAAAGTTCATTTAGAAAAACAAAAATATCAAAAAACTAAAAAACGTGAAAAAAGTAAACGTAAAATTTAATTTACAATCTGTTCTTATAAAGTGTAATATATTAATTCCTCAAAAACAAATTACAAAATATTAATATAAAAAATTAAAACTCAAAAAAGATTACTTTTTTTATTTTTCCTCTCTCTCTCTTATTTAAGAAAACAAATAAATTTATTTAAACTAATGAAATCTAAAAATGCTAAAAATCTTTATAAGTACTTTTTTTATAATATAACAGACTGTAATACCTATATAAAATTAAAGAATTTAGACCTTCCAGACAAATAAAGTATGCATTAGTAGATAGTTTTAATATATAATATTTTTATAGATAGATTTAAAAATAATTATCTGTTTGTTCATTATTTAAAAGTAATAGTTTTAGTTTTTGTTTAAACTGATCAAGAGTTTTAAGTGTTTTAATATCATTACTGATAATCTTATTCCATGCAATTAGGTCCTCTAACAGTTATTGAAAACTTGGTGGAGTCGTATATAGTTTTGGGTTGAACAAAGTTGTTGTTAGAATATTTAGTTACGTATTTGTGTTGAATTTTATTAAATAATGGTTTGAAGATATTTGGTATTGAATTGTTATTAATTTTATACATAAAAATCAGAAGATGATATATATTTATTTGGTACACATTTAGTATTTTTAGATTGTTTAACAATGGTCTTGAATGTGAGAGGCGGTGTGCATTTGATAATAATCTAATTGCATGTTTTTGTTTGCTAAATAGCTTTTTTATCTTTGTTTTATTGGTGCTACACCAAGCAATGTTTGCATAATTAGGATAAGAATGTATAAATGAGTAATATATGTATTTCAAGCAGGATTGATCTAAGAATGGTTTTGCTTTATAGAGTAATCCAATATTTTTAGAAATTTTATTTTCAATCATGTTTATGTGGTCTTTCCAATTTATGTTTTCATCTAGAATTACACCTAAAAATTTCATCGAACATTCTCTTTTTACGATGTAATCTCCAATAATAAGTTTTGGAAGTTCAAGAGGAATTTTTTCTTTTTTATGGAGGCGATGAAAAATAGTATATTTAGTTTTAGTTAAATTAATTGAAAGTTTGTTCATATTTAACCATTCGGTTAGTTTTAGGAGTTCAATGTTGACCGTTTTAAATAATGCTGTTATATCACTATGAGAATAAAATAAATTTGTGTCATCAGCAAATAAGATAGAATCTAGAATATTAGAGGCTTTGCTTAAATCATTAATATAAATTAAAAATAAGAGTGGTCCTAATATAGATCCTTGAGGAACGCCGCAAGTAATTGTCATATTGTTAGTTTTTTTATTGCCGAATGAAATATACTGTTTTCTATTAGATAAGTAGCTTTTAAACCAAGCTATGTTAATATTTTTGATACAGTAGTTCTCTAATTTTTTAATTAAAATACTATGATCAACTGTGTCGAACGCCTTACTTAGATCTATGAAAACACCTAAAGTGAACTTGTTTTTATCAAAAGCTTGAAAAATAATCTGAACAAGATGAAGAATTGCTTGATCAGTAGAGTGTCCTGTTTTGAAGCCAAATTGTTTGTTATATAGAATATTATTTTTTTCTAAATATGAATATAATTTGTTATACATAATGCGTTCTAGTATTTTTGAGAAGCAAGGAAGAATGGAAATAGGTCTATAATTAGAAATATTAGTATTATCTCCAGATTTAAAAACTGGTATTACCCTTGCAATTTTAAGTTTTTTTGGAAAGATTCCTTGTTTAAACGAAAGATTAAATATATCCAAAAGGATTTTTTTAATATAGAAGATACATTTAATTATGACATTACTGCTAATGTTATCAACTCCTTGTGATTTGTTTAATTTTAATGAAAGAACAGCATCTAATAACTCTTTTTCGGTTAACTCCGCATTTTCCATTATTGATTTGCTAGGAGTCAAGTATTTCTCCTTGTTAAAATCACTGTGTTTTAGTTTGGATGCTAAATTTAGACCTGCGTTGACAAATACGTCATTAAATGTTTTAGCAATTAGAGATTCTTTTGTAATATCTTGATGATTGTAATTGAGCTTTTTTGGAAGACCATTTAACATAATTTTTTTTTTTTCCAATTACTTCCTTAATGACTTGCCACGTTTTTTGAGTATCACCTTTGAATTTTATTATTTTATTTGAGTAGTATAACTTTTTTGAAAGTTTTATAATTGATTCAAAGTGACTTTTATATTTTTTATACCTTAGTTCATTTACATAGGTTCTTTTTTTCAGAAATACTTCATACAAACGTTGGTTTTTTTTAGACGATTTTATTATTCCTGGTGTAATCCAGGGGTTTATAAATGTTTTA